ATGAGGAAAATAAAAGAACAGGAATTAATAATTAAGAAAACAAACGATAACAATTGACATTGCATTTAAATGAAGTAGCCGGAAAAGAGTTCCACAAGCGAGAAACGTTTTCCTTGTTTTTTTTTGTTTTTTTATCGCTTTCTTCCTTTCATCTAAATTGATAGTCAAAGGTTTCCGGAAATTCATAGCCCCATTATTCAGCCGTGAAAGTAATTTTTATAAATTTCAATCAGATTATGCAATGATGTGCGTTGTGGGGTAGTGTATATCGGCTCGAAGTGAGAACTGGGAGAGCCGTATTCGAATTCCAATCTAGTTAGATTCCCTTACGCACAAATACCCCTTGGGAAAGGTATGAATCCATCTCTTCTCCCCCCTCCTCCGGACAGACTGGGTTCTTTAATCTTGGTTGGCAATCAGTCTACCGCAGAAAGAAATGGAAAACTACTACGAGAAAAAATCTGCCTCGTCAGTAATCTATCGAAAGATGCATGATCGCCCAAGCATGTATCGCGTATGGCACTTAACTGACATGCCAAATACCAAGTGAAGTGTAATGTGTGGCGGGTATGGGTATTTTCGTTCATTCAGTATTTTCACCCATCAAATATCCTTTTTTTAATCCCTAGTACAAAGAGCCCAGTTCGAATTCCAGCCACTTACGCACAAATAACCTTGGGAAATGTATGAATACATCTCTTCTTCTCCTAGAAGTTTGAATAACAAGACAGACAAGGTTCTTTATGGCAACCTACTTCGGCAAAATATCTGCGTCGTCAGTCATGTTGTTCATGATGACGGTCGTCTTCGAGTATAGAATCCAGAGGTTAGCAGTGAATATTTCGAAGACAGTAGGAAAGCGTTGTTCAGGTTAGCAGTGGATATTTTGGTAAAAGTAGCAGAGCATAGTTCGTCCTTCTGTTTCTCTTCGCCTGACAAGCTGGACTGGACATTCGGGTAGGGTAAACAAAATGGCCGCCTTTATACACGATGGATTGAATGTTCTACGTCTTCTGGTTGGTTAACCTTCTATTGGTAGACTATAAAGTGAGTCAAGTCATTTGGGCTAACTCACTAGTTGCATATATATACACAAACAACTGCAACAAGTCATGCATCGAAAGATATATGATCGCCCAAGCATGTATTACGTATGGCAATTAACTGACTTGCCAAATACCAAGTGAAGTGTAATGTGTGGTCGGTATGGGTATTTTCGTTCATTCACCATTTCACCACAAATATCCTTGGGAAAGTTATGAATCCATCTCTTCTTCCCTCAAAAGGTTGAATAACAAGACAGACTGGGTTCTTTATGGCAACCTACTGCGGGAAAAATCTATCTCGTCAGTCATGTATCGAAAGATACATGATCGGCCAAGCGTGTATGACGTATGACACTTAAATGACTGACTGATATGCAACTTTCAGTAAAGTTGTGCATTCCCTCATATTATTGTCAATGAAAATGTTGTATAAAATTTTTTCCAGCACTTTCATTGAGAATATACGATAAATTATCTTACTTTTCTTTCTATCAAATTTCTCCCAACACAAACTTCGGGGGCCATTCAACCTGGGATAAAACGATGTCTATTTATAGAATTGTTATTCGATCATCAAAGTATTTTCCTTGACTTTCTTCGACCAAACGCAGCCTTTCAGCTAAATTATGTATTTCATCATAAAAGAACGATTACGCTTGAAGCCACCTTGTAGTGGAGCACACGCATTTCAACAGTCAGCTACATCTTTCTGCAAATTAATTAAAACAGCCGCTTTAGTTTCCTTTCTTTCACAAAACGGTCAGTTTTAGACCCACTGGAGTCACGGTGTAACTGATTTTTATTTTTTCTTCAGATTAGGCCATTTGCAGTGGTGTGCAGTAATATGAATCTATTTTCGGATGTATGATTGAATTTGTTTGGCTTGAAAAATATTGCGTCATCCGTGATTGCCTCAGATTTTTATCACGCCCAGAAACTATTGTCTCGACTGTCGATTAGTTGTTCCATGGCCATGGTCTTCTATGAACATTGCCCCAAGGAAGTGTACGAAAATTGTAACGCCGAATGAACATACAGGCAAGGCTTATAAATGCGTAAATCAAAGTACCATAGACAGGCCTGGAAAACCTTCAGATTTTAAATCCAATCGAGAATCTGTGATCAAACTGCAAGGAACGACGTTGTGAATAGACATACGAAGTACTAACATGTGCACTGGGTCATATTACATTAGAAATGTACGAAAAAAGTAAAAAGTAACGGAATTCGTTTTGTTTCAATTAATTTGCACAAGGGTGTACGTTCTTTTATGTGCCATGTTCTTTCAGGAAGTTGACGATTGTGGCTCTTCACAGATACCATCCCCTTGGTAAAGAGAATGTCATCTTTGAACTCAATATTAGGGAAAAGACAATGTAATAATTGCTTTGGATATTGTTTGAAAAGGAATCAGTCATTTTATGATTGAATCCAATATTAGGATCACAGAGAATGTCAACCTAATTGCTTTGGTTATTATTTGAAAAGGAGTCAGTCATTTCATGATTGAATCCAATATTAGGATCACAGTGAATGTCAACCTAATTGCCTTGACTGTTTGAAAAGGAGTCAGTCATTTTATGATTGAATTCAATATTAGGATCACAGTGAATGTCAACCTAATTGCCTTGACTGTTTGAAAAGGAGTCAGTCATTTTATGATTGAATTCAATATTAGGATCACAGTGAATGTCAAACTAATTGCTTTCACCATCGTTTGGAAATTGATCAGAGATTTCATCATTGGAACAATATCAGGATCTAATTGCATTCACTTTCGCTTGAAAAGGAATCATCATTGCATGTAATATTAGGATCACGGCGAATGTCAACTGAATTGCATTCACTATCTTTTGTGTAGGGATCACACATTTCCCTGAGGATCCAATATTAAGTTGCTTTCACTCTTGTTTGGAAAGGAATCAAACATTACATTATTGTATGTAATTTTAGGATCAAAGTGAATGTCAACATAATTGCTTTCACTTTAGTTTGGAAAGGAATGAGATATTTCAGCACTGGGCCTAATTCTAAGATCAAAGTGAATGTCTACGGAATTGCTTTCGAAATTCTTGTTGCGAAAGAATCAAACTTTTCATCGCTGGACCCAATATTAGCATCAATGAGAATTTCTTCCTTGGTTCCATCCAGTCCATTACCAATACCTAATTTCTTTAATGACTTAATCATTGTAGAACTTATTTTTACCCGCGCATTCTTCACCCATTTGAACACCTTTGTAAATGTCTGCCTTTTCCTTCGTTCAGTTTTAGGTTTCAACCCAACGATTCTTTTATATTCCATCAGCTGATAACACAACAATGTATGGCCAATAAAATCTTGTAAACTGTTATCAGTTGAAACACTTTTTGCTTTAAAAGTATTTGCAGAAGCGCGTAGACGTTACCCCCTTTGGAACGACATTTTGCTCCTCACCCCCCTCGCTAACTGCGTTTAATAATTTATTCATATCTTCAGTTTATAGAAAGCGAGTAGATTTTGGCTGTAAAGAGCGCGTCTGCAGTATACCGCGAAATGTTAAAATTCTAAACATTTTCATGTTCATTTTTTATTTAATCATTCTATCGGATTTAACTCATATTTTCTCGATTTAAGAATGTATGTATGTATATATATATATATATATATATATATATATATATATATATATATATTTGTGTGTGTGTGTGTGTGTGTGTGTATGGAGAATTGGAAATGGGAAAAAGACTGCAGCACATTCCCAAACTTCGTTACAAAGACTGCCTTAAAATGTCACTATACAAGTGCAATATTTGTCTTGATAACTGGGAGATTCTAGCTGAAGACTGGGTTTCTTGGAGAGCTGGTATTGCTGATGGCGTCAAGGTCTCCAATGAGGCATCATAAAAATATACAGAACTGAAGAGAAGAGTTCCGAAGGGATCCCTGAATTGCCATGAGATGCCAACCTGGCCATGTGCCTAGTGCAATCGGATATGTCTGTCCAGGGCGGGTCTACTCAGTTAACAGCGGTCACACAAACACAAGCAGTCTATGGTATATGCCGATTTCGTAATGGCATGCTTTTAATGATCGACCTGCACTAGGAGTGTGCAAGTCTAGGTCAGGCCTGATAAGGCATATAAAAGGGCACATTGGAAGTGATGATGATCAAAGTCTGCTGCCACGACCCGGAGATTATTTGATATGCCACATATGTGACAGGAAATGCAGATAGATGGCTGGCTTTATGAGCCACTGTCGTTCACACAACCGATGAATGCAGTGTTGTTGGGGTGGGGGAGTTTAAGTGAAGGGCTGGATGGTCATACTCACTTTGCGAGTCGACATTCACCATATATATATATATATATATATATATATATATATATATATATATATATATATATATTACTTATATAATCGATATCTCCCCATGCAAGGCAGTAAAGCCACTAAGCCACAAGGGTTTACTGGATATGGCAGAATTAGGAACTGAAACAATAATGAGCGGGAAAAGAAAAGAGCAATCAGGAGGTCAGTAGATAGCGACTGATACTGCATTTAAATTTTTGCCATTGAATGTGGCTGGAAAGTATGGAGCTGGAAGGGAGTTCCACTAGCGAGAAGTGCGAGAAAATAATGTTAGCATAGAACTTACAGTTACACCTAGCCAGCTCAACTGTAAATTGATGAGATCTCGAAGTCCGTCTAGTATTGTGTTTAAATTCAAAAACTCTAGGTACCAAAACGAAGAGCTCTAATATAACAAATTTCAAGACCAGGTAAAAAAAAACCCAGGGTTTCTTATACCGATTTATAACCCTTTTCAAATTTGGCTCAACACAATCTTCCTTCAGGTCACATGGCATTGTGTTCAGTAAATCTTATCTTTTCAACGATGAACATTTTTGTTATTCGCATGACACTATTATCTGCAGTTTTATTCTTTCGTTATTAATTTCATAAGCTGAAATGAGTCATTTCGCCGTGAGAAGTTCTTTTCCCCAAGGTTCGTTTGGTTTAATAAATGGAGAGCAATTGATGCAACTCTGGTTAATCTAATTAACGAGCGTTTCACTTGTTCAGCCACTGTCTTCAAATCGTTGGCATTTTCTTCTCTTTCAGTTTTCTTTTTTTTTACGCTTTTATTTTGCTTTTCTTTCTTTGGTTCATCTTTCTCTATTTCGTTTCTTTCTTTTTTCTCAGTTTCGTTTCTTTCTTTTTTTCCTCCACTTCATTTTTATCTTTTGTTCTCCCTTTCGTTTGTTTATTTTTCCCCCACTTCGTTTCTTTCTTTTTGATCTGCTTCATTTGTTTCTTTTTTTCCCATTTCCTTTGTTTCTATTTTTCTCCGTTTCGTTTGTTTCTTTTTTCCACCACTTCGTTTGTTTCTTTTTTTTTTCTCCACTTCGTTTATGTCTTTCTTTCTCCATTTCGTTTTTATTCTTTTTTCTCCACTTCGTTTCTTTCTTTTTGATCTGCTCCATTTGTTTCTTTTTTTCCCATTTCCTTTGTTTCTATTTTTCTCCGTTTCGTTTGTTTCTTTTTTTTTCCACTTCGTTTGTTTCTTTTTTTTTCCACTTCGTTTGTTTCTTTTTTTTCCACTTCGTTTGTTTCTTTTTTTTCCACTTCGTTTGTTTCTTTTTTTTTCCACTTCGTTTGTTTCTTTTTTTTCTCCATTTCGTTTGTTTCTTTTTTTTCTCCATTTCGTTTGTTTCTATTTTTCCATTTCGTTTGTTACTTTTTTCTCCACTTTATTTTTTCTTTCGTTCTCAATTTCGTTTGTTTCTTTTTTCCCCCCACTTCGTTTGTTTCTTTTTTCTTCACTTCTTTTGTTTCTTTTATCCTTCTTTTCTGTTATTCACTACTTCATTGTTTCATTGTATCCTTTTTCGTTTTATCTTCTCTTCATTTCCTTTTACTCAAGTTTTTTCATATATTATTTTATTATTTTATTCTCCTCGTTTCTTTCTTTTTCATTTTTCTTTGTTTTTTCTCTTCGTTTGCTTCTTCTTTCGTTTGTTTTCTTTTTCTTTCACTCTCTTGCTTATATATTTTTTCACTTTCATTGTTTATTCACTTGTCTTGTTTGTTTTCAGGTTTTCGTGATTAGCTACTTCAATAATTAAATGTAAAAGGTTTCTTACGGGAACATTTTATAGTACATGTAATAAAGGTGAGGAAGAAGAGTACATGCAAAGATAACATTTATTAAAACAAAATTAACAAAAACTTAAGTTTAAAACAAGTGTTTCTTTTGTTAGATGTAAATTGTATACACAACGAAATGTTCATTAGCAGTAGGAACTTACTTTGTTTGTGTGTTTTACGTGAAGCATTCGCAGACCTTGTAGCTTCAGCATGGAAAGTTCATGTTAGCTATTCGAAAGAGGGAAACCCAGAAAAAGAGAATTTCTTTAGGGTTTATGTGTTTTTATATCTGAGGGCTGCTACTGATATGAATTTTATTTTTAGAGCTGCTACTGCTATTATGCTTAAGGTCACCACAATTTCTTTCTTTTATTCTCTTGGATTCTTTCATTCTTCCTTTTTAAGTTTCTTCCTCGTTCTGGGTTTATTATCATTTTTGATCTGCATTTCTTTGCTTCTTTTTTTTCCTTTATTCTCATTTGTTTCTTTCTTCGTGTTTGATTTCTTTTTTTATTTTCTTGTTTTATTTTTTATCTTTTATTTTGTCTTTCATCCTTTCATTTTGTTTTCATTATGGAGCTAGCATCTTTTTTATTTATTAAACTATGTATTTTGATCTTTCTTCTCTTGTTTTAGTTTCCTTTTCTATCAATCTTTTTATTAGAAATTTATTTTATTCTTCTTATCTTTCATTTTCTTTCTTTGGGGCAAACATGGATTTTCATGCCCCCCTCCCCGCCACAAGAAGACCTATCAAGAGGACGGTTTTACCCGTTTTTACATCGTCTTTATCTTTACCTTCACTCTTTGGCAATGTTCGTTTTGAAAAAGCGATGATTAGAATTGTAATAAATCCTAAAACATATGATGAAACTAAATCTATGCATTTATCTTTATTTTTGAGAATTTACAACAAAAATATTAAACCCTATTAATTACTTTCTTTCTTTATTTACAAGAATAATTCTATTTTTACAACATTCTTCAAACTAATACAATTTTATTAAGACTAATGGAAAACAATATTTATTATTTACCAGTTTATAAAGAAATAAATATGAAAACAATTTTTTATTCATAAATTTATAAAAGAAAATACACCCTTGTGCAAATTAATTAAAACATCCGCTTTAGTTTCCGTTCTTTCGCAATACGGTCAGTTTTAGAGCTACTGGAGTTACAGGGTGTAATCGATTTCTATTTTATCCTCAGATTAGGTCATTTGCAGTGGTGTGCAGTAATATGAATCTATTTTCGGGGTGTATAATGAAATTTGTTTGGCCTTGAAAAATATTACGTCATCCGTGTTTACATCAGAAATTTATCATGCCTAGACACTATTTTCTCGACTATCGATTAGTTGTCCTATGGCCATTATCTGCGATGGACGTTACTCCAAGGAAGCGTCGAAAATTGTAATGCTGCACGAACACACTGGACTTCATGGAATGGACATACGAAAAGTACTAAAATGTGCACTGGGTCATGCTTCATTGGAAAAATACGAAAAAATGTAAATAAAAACGGAATGATTAGTTTTGTTTCAATTAATTTGCATAAGGGGATAGACAGATAGATAGATAGATAGATAGATAGATAGATAGATAGATAGGAACAGACCGAGATAGATAGATAGATAGATAGATAGATAGATATGAGCAGACCAAGATAGATAGATAGATAGATAGATAGATAGATATGAACAGACCAAGATAGATAGATAGATAGATAGATAGATATGAACAGTCCAAGATAGACAGATAGATAGATAGATAGATAGATAGATAGATAGATAGATAGATAGATATGAACAGACCAAGATAGATAGATAGATAGATATGAACAGACCAAGATAGATAGATAGATATGAACAGACCAAGATATATATATATATATATATATATATATATATATATATATATATATATATATATATATATATGTATATGAACAGACCAAGATAGATAGACAGATAGATAGATATGAACTGGCTGGGATAGATAGACTTGTCCGGACTCCCCTGTTTTAAATCCAATCTAGAATCTGTGGTCAATCTACAAGGAATGACTTCGTGAAATGGATATACGAAGTACTAACATGTGCACTGGGTCATATTTCATTGGGAAAATATGAAAAAAATAAATAAGAAAGGAATTATTCATTTTGTTTCAATTAATTCGCACAAAGGTGTATAAGCAAATCTTTATTATTTACCATTTTTATAAAAGTTCGTATCACCTGGACGGGGTTTTGCCAACCATTCCAATAAACAATCTAATAATGTTTATTATTTTTGTTGTCAATTCTCAAGAACAAAGAAAATGTATAAATTCTCTTTTATCACATGTTTAGATTTTATTAAAATTCTAATCGTCGCTTTTTAAAACAAAATTTGCTAAAGAGTAAAAACATTTAAAACACAAGCGGTGTCATGGGAAAACCGTTTTTTTGACATTCAGTTTTTTTTTTTTTTGCTGCTACGTAAGTCCATGTTTACTCTTTTTTTTTCTTGTTCTCTTATTTCCGACTTTCTTTACTTATGTGTTTCTTTCTCTTTTCATATTTCTTTTTGTTTTTATCTCCTTTTCCTCGCCATTCTCGCCTTCTTTTCCAAATTACCGCAGTTTATAAATCCTATAAACCCTTTATATCTCCTTTTCTTTGAATACGGAAATGGTTGAGTTCATTTAAGTACATCGATAATATATAATTTTAAAACTTTACAAAATGGCAAACAGCGTTCATTGCTGGTGCAAAATTGGTTGCTAAGCAACATCTTACAAAAATGCGTCGTTGTTAAGCTTTTTAATCAAATCTGATTCTTTGATGTTAAACTTAATAATTTCTTCGTATTTAGACTTTATGAAAACTTTCACTTAACAAAGGTGGATTAACAATCGCAATTCCTTTTCTGCTTACAAGGCTCGGCAGCCACTCGAGGTAGAGGATTACAGAGTAAGAGGCCCATTTTATGCGGATATGTGGGGGAGATAACTATAATTGCTAGATTGAACAGGTTATGATTGATCGGGGAAAACATCCACCTGCAATACGGACGGAGTGAACGTGGTTCGTTACAATGGTTACAAGGCTCGGAAGCCACTCGAGGTAGAGGATTACAAAGCAAGAGGCCCATTTTTATGCAGATATGTGGGGGAGATAACTATTAATAGTAGATTGAATAGGTTATGTTTGATCGGGGAAAACATCCACCTGCAATACGGAGAGAGTGAACGTGATTCTATACAATCCTTACAAGGCCCGGGAGCCACTCGAGGTAGAGGATTACAGCGTAAGAGGCCCATTTTATGTGGATATGTAGGTGAGATAACTATTAATGCTAGATTGAACAGGTTATGATTGATCGAGGAAAACATCCACTTGGAATACGGAGGGAATGTACGTGGTTTGCTACAATGCTTACAAGGCTCGGGAGTCACTCGAGGTAGTGAATTACAGAGTAAGAGGCCCATTTTATGCGGATATGTGGGGGAGTTAACTATTAATGCTAGATTGAACAGGTTATGATTGATCGGGGAAAACATCCACTTGGGGTGAGTCGGTTCCATAGAGTAGTGGTTCGTTAAATGAAACTGCTCAACTGGTACTTCCATCTCACCAATGGAATACGGAAGGAGTGAGGGTGTTTCGCTACAATGTGTCTAGCATGACAGGTCTTAGTCATGAAGATTAGAAATGGTGGAACGAAGGACTGTATTTGGTCTGAGCACTTCCTACGGGAATAGCGTTAGGGCAGTGAATGTCTTGCTAAGTTTCTTCTGGGAGAGGAGTATTGTAGGGCGGAAAATAATTTGTCACCCACAAGGACTATCGTGACTGGAAAGTGACCACTGGGCAGCTCCTGTCCATATATAGCAGAAATACTCCCCAGTATTCAAGATAATAGTTTTGAGCCATTGTTCTTGCTCATCAACCTAAAAAGAAAATAAAGTACAATTATATTTTATTCAATTTTATATTCTCCATTATTTGTAATAACTTATTGCCACTTATCGGGTACCATTTGAGCAAAATTCCGCTATTTCCACTATTCGGACTTTGTTGTAGCATACCTACGGACGATAATGGGTATGTCGTGATTCACATACAGTAGTAAATACTGTATGTTGGTCTACAGTTGTAGATTTATTGTGGAATTCACTTGACTCACTTCTAGCAGTTGACTACTTCTTCTATACACTGCTGGCGAATCTTATATGTGTTGTTCTTGTCCTAAGTATTATCATTCATTACCAATCTTCCTGTGATTATTCTATTCAGTAACCTTCCCTAGGTTACAACAATTAGTGATTAAATTTTTAGGGATAAGATTGAAGACCCTTTATTATTTATTAAGTTACTGTGATAATTCATATTTAAGTCTTATTAAACTTCTGTAAGAAAATTTAAAAATAAATAAATAAAGGGATATGTTTTTATTGTGTTGTTGCACTATTACTCTTTCACAAAAATAAAACATGATTCTTTTTAGAAAGTATTAAATATTTTATTTGTGAGAAATTTATTTTATTAAAACTTATTAGTGTTGTAGCATATACCTACGGACGATAATGGGTATGACCCCATTCACATAAATACAGTAGTAAATGCTATATGTTGGTCTGCATTGTGGAATTCACTTGACTCACTTCTAGCAATTGACTATTTCTTCTACGCGCCGCTGGCGAATCTTATATGCATTGTTCTTGTCCTAAGTATAATCGTTCATTATCAACCTTCGTGTGATTATTCTATTCAGTAACCTTCTGTAGGTTACAACAGCTGTCCTCATCTTTGTTGACATATTTACGATGTTTCGTCCGCTGTACGCTCCGGCTTTCTTCAGATGACTGGAATTTCAAACCAACTCGGGGCAGATTGTTCTAGTTCCACGTGCCATGCCTCTTCAGGATATCTCAATTTCAGTTATTTCCCTTTAGTAACTCAGGTTAAAATCATTTTGTATCAGTCCCACTATGTCTTCCCAACTGAGCATTGCTGAGACGATAAAGATCATTCACGCCTTCAGTCATGGTACCAAGATTCATACTCTGGCTTCCATCTTGAAATTTCATTCAAGAACCTTCAAGAGAACGGTGAATAAATTTTAAAAAGCGAGAACAGTAGAAAGGAAAACTGGATCAAGAGGTTGCAACAGCGTAAGGGATCTTCATTTCACCTTAGAGCTAAATACATTCTTATTGTTCAAAGTAGAGTCCAATAGTGTTATAAGAATCTCGGAGAATTCCAGAAAGGTATATTTAATCATTTCTAAGATACAACGGTTCAAAGCTTAATTTAACAATTGGATAATTTTGCTGTTACACGATTTGGACAAGTTTGCTGTTACACCCGGTATAGCTCAGAAATATTAAAATTATTCTGTTTTTATTTATTTATTTTTTTCAATGTTCACCCAATACATGGCCCAAGAGCTACTCAACAGCCTGATGATGGCTTTGTGCTAGTGTCGAAAGTACTCGGAATAAATGTATCAACATGGTAATTTTCTTTCTTCCTTTATAAGAATACTAAGAAGTTAATGCGAGAATATGAGAGGATATATATATATATATATTAAGA